TCAAAAAAGACAGACACATATTCTGTCAACTGTCCCGACCGGCGACAAAGTCGTCTACTGGCGCGCTAATTGGCGACTCAGTCAATGATGATTTACCAATGTGCGACGGCACAATATGTACATACTTAGATATTTCTGGAGACAGACCGAGCGTGGCCCAACGATTACGTGACCGCTTCTGTTAAAAATCATCATCATCATTGTCGACTTAAATTTCACTGTTGAACATTTAGGGTAGGGAACGTTTTACTAAGATCCCCGTGGTTCGTTGCTGAAACTACAGAGTTCGTACTTTGTGCGACACTCCTGGCAGATGGCTAGCTGTCTGCAGAGAGACGAGGTAATATAGATTAAAACCTTTTGCAAGGAAGTCGATCTTTTCGACTTTAAGTTAAATAAGTATGAGTCTACATCTCCATAGGTGGCACTGACCGTTGTTATTGCCTATCAATGAGAATGTCTTTGATGTCCTTTGTTAACTTCTTCGCTACTTTCATATTTATGTGTATGTATAGCAAGGTCGGTAACTTATCTTGCAGAACCAATAACTCATTACAACAAGAAATGAATGTGTGAATCCCAGAACAGCTGAAATAGTTGCGGTGTATAAAGCGAATTGCAGATATCAGAGACAGAAAACCTCCGTACACAAACGATATGACATTGAGTTGATCATATGGCAGACCTAGAGTTTTTCCTATGTGTCAACTGTCATTAAAATTTTATGTTTTCTAGATACTGTCAAGGTCCGCTTTCTTGTTCAAATGCTGGTATAACTTCCGAAAGTCTTGCCATCTCGCTAGCCCCGAGATTACATAGGGAATTCCCCGGGACAGTCCCAGAGTTTTGGGGTGCCATGTGTTCCTCGTTTTGAAATTTTTAAGCAGATCCACGACCGACAACAGCCAACGAGCGTAAAATACAAAAACGTCAATGATTCGAAACTCACAAACCGTCTGTCTTCCTGGCACACAGGCGCCTGAGATTTACTCATAACAACAACACATTACAGAAAAGAGAAAGCGGCGCACTTCCTCTGGGAGACAGTGTGTCGACCGCGTCAAACAAACACGACGTACTTTTCGGCACGCTGTGTATGCACAGCGAAGAAAGACGTCTGATAACATCCCCTGAACATAGGACAGCCCATGGAAAACACAACAAAATCTCATGACCGACGAGATGGGGTAGCTCTCGTGAGTAGTATCCAAATCTTCTTTATAAAGAGATGGAAGTGTTCTGGTTCCTTGCAATATGTCGCAGAACACTGAAATATGTTTACACAATACAGTTTGTATAATGTTTAAGGATCTAATACAAACCCCACCTGTGACTATTTCCTTTGAGGTGACTTGCACTGGAGGTGGGGCACCTTGCACTGTTTGATAAAAAGGTAACTGTAATAATCAGAGCTACAACGTATACAGGTCTCTACAAGTATACTCATGCACGTACAACTAAATAACTCATATATCACCATCCTCATGCTGCTGTGCCATTAGACAACATAGGCATTGCGGTCTAATCTTCCACTCCGTTTTATCCTGTGCAATCCTCTCGATATCGTGGATAGAATCCAGACTAGCACCCACGACTCTCTCATCAAAGTTCGTCTCAGTTTCTCTTGTAGGTCCCCATTTCCTCAGTCCATTTGTTGTTGTTGTTGTTGTTGTTGATGTTGTTGTAAAAGAGGTATCAGCCGCCATAAAATAAAATAAACAGGCCTATAAAAATCCTAAGAAAAGAGTCAAATAAAACAGTATATTACAGAAATGTGAAAGGGACAGTGGGAAATGAGTGCTACTGGCAGAAGGGCGCGCGAATAGTTGACATAACCCACCCTGACATTACCAGTCTTCTTCTTACTAACTTTTACAATGGGTTATTCATTGCTTCAATGTCAGAATATTTGCCTGCAAATACTTTAGCAAGAACCACACTCATCATCATCATCATCAGGTGCCTTGCCGACTGGCGTGGGCGATCATGCCTCTCCATAATCCACGATCTCCTGCAGCATGTATCAGTTCGTGTGCCGACACACCTCCACGCCATGCAAAAAGACTGTCAAGAATCTTCTCTCGTTGTCTTCCTCTGTCCCTCCTTCCACAGATCTTTCCAGTGGTCACAACATGTTTCTATTTTTCCTCTTCTAATAACATGGCCGAAAAATGATGACTGTCTCATTCTACTGTCTGTGATAAGTTGTCTTCGGGCTCCCGCCTCTTTTAAAACCTCTTGGTTGCTCTTTTTGGCTGTCCAAGGTATTCTAAGCATTCTTCTGTAAAACCACATCTCTGAGGCCTCAAGAAATTGTTTGGCCTGTCTACCGATAAATATACAATGACAAAAGGCATGAGTGTATTACTTTCAAAGATAGAATCTGCCCTGTGGTGTGGTTTGAATATCTAGCCATGTTTCTTTACTCTGGCCAGACTAAACAGAAAAGATAAACGACCTAGTCCCATATTTAGCTTGTCAGCTGATGAAAACAACCCCAACATTAACTCATGGAGCTGTAGATAATATGTATTTTTGTTTGGTTAAATATCTATAGATAAGTACTTCAAGTATGAAGTATAAATATGTGCTTTTCCTTCGTCTTTGTCCTCTCGGATTTTCCTAGTTGTTTGTCTGTGATCTGGTCCAAATACTTGAAAGGTACGTGCACATCCGTTTTACAAATCTGGTTTATTTGTATGTAGACTACTGGTTCCTTAACTTTCAGGTATATGCAGTGTGCACAGGCTGTGTAGCACCGGCGAGGATCCTCAAATACTTTGGGTAGATTTTTAACTCCAAATTTTTGCCCGGGCAACGCCGTTAGGCTACTCTTTTCGATTTCCAACTGCCAAAGGATTATCTGGCCCAAAGACTTCAAAGGTACGTGCACATCTGTTTTACAAATCTGTTTTATGTGTAAGCAGACTATTGGTTTCCTAACTTTCAGATATATGCAGTATAATTTTGAAGGATATGTCTATCCCATCTGCACTGGCCAGACCCCTGGCCTAACTTTGCCCCTAGGATGAAAACAGAGAGTTGTTGATAGGCCTGACCACTTGGAGCCCTGGTCCTGTCGCAGCGCCCCCTGTAGTTCTGCAACTCTACGTCCGAGAATGTGCTGATCTAGCTCAACAGTAGTGGTTTCATACTCACGAGCGAGACCTAACAATGAACGAGACATATCAAACATCTAACGACAGCAGAAATTCCTCGCAGGCATTACGGAGTTCGTGTACTGCGGTAAGATTTTTTTGACGCAGGCTTGACTTAGAAGTAGAACTAAGCACTTTTATGTTAATACCCTTATGCCATAATGTTGTTCGGTTGTTTAAACCTAAACCTAAACATTTGACCATCATGGCCACCCATAATATTTGAAGAAAAACTAGGAAATCACGTGTTGCTAGAGAAATTAAATGTAGATAATCAAGACTGACATGTTTGAACATTTTCTTTGGGAGAAAAAATCTCGCAAACTTAGTATGAGCTGGCAAACCTGTTGAGAATAAAGCGGCAAGAAAGTAAAGAAAAGGCTACTAGGGATTGGTGATAACATAAGAGCAAAGGGTCAGGTGCAGACCAGCATGAAGATACGCACAGAATCTAAGAGAAAAGTTGAAAGTTCATGAGGTGGAAGATCTGGTGGGAGACCGAGTGTTATTTTTAGGCGTGATGAGAAGGAAATTCAGCAAGGACCTTCTATATAATAATCATGATGTGATCATATAAGGTGGCAAAACATGGAGGATTAGGTTATTTGTAAGTAAGTAAGTGAGTTAGTTGTACCCCACCAAGACATTACACAAGCGACAAAAATCCGGTGACACAAAGTGCCACCATGCGGATGAATATCGACCGTGAAGAGGTCCCAGAAACCCATTTCAGCCGTTATGACCACAATTGTGGCCCAGCTATATTCAGGGACCCCGGCAAAAGCCAAAATGGGGCTTCAAATAACGAACAATTGCATCCCAGAAGGGGATGACGGAGATAAAACATCCATTTCAGATCTGATCTAAAATGATTCCAAAATTAGCTGATTCATTTTTGGGTTATTCATTCTATTTTGGAAACTATAGTTTCTTTATTAATAACATTATTTATATTTTAAGCCATAATAAGACAACAGAAATTCACATGACAGGTGCTACCGTTTGGACTGAAGTGAGAAATTTAGTAACCACAAAAATAAGATGTCAGAGAAAAGCTGTAGGAGTGACAGATACAACCAGGAGTGAATTCAAAAGACACAACGACGGTATAGAACAAGTACTAAAATACATAAAAAAGATAGAAAAATAAAAAACTACAACAAAAACGCTTTATCCACTTAAAGAGAATACCTTGTGACTCCATACCAAAGAAGTCACACACAAGGAAAGGGAAGCAGAGCATGAAATAGACCAATAACAAGATTGAAAGACAATATCAAGAAATTCCACGAGAGTACAACCTGTCCATGCTCCAAGTGGTCAGAAGAACCGGCTACAGAACCTTAAATCTCTACACAATTGTATGTTCAGGAGTTTGCTATTGCTTTCTGGGGAAGTCGGCTATGGATAAAACTATTGAGATTAGCCCAGATGGCCCGCAGCTGGAATCGAGCTGTATACCTTGGAATTATGAAGTGCAGTGACGAAACCTAAGTCACAGACACCCACAGGTGCGGTACTGGAGGATATGTTATAACGCACCGATGGAGACAGGCAGGTGGGTGCGTGGTCCTCTTGTTCATTCGTCCTCAACAGATTGGGTGGTAGGGTGAATTGGTGTCCAGCTAGGCCGCTATATCTACACTTTTTGGCCCAACAAACAGGATTTCATCAAACTCATAATTAGGAAGTTCTTATGACGTGCTTTTTAAGGATAGTAGACTTTTACCCCCTCCCCCTCTTTTTCGCCCCACCCCCAAATGGGACCACGAAACCCATAACAGGATTGGGAGTGGGGGTGGGTGGCAGTGACAACAGAACAAAGGCCATTCCGTTACTCACATGCTGGGATAGCTTTGTGGATGGAAGTTATGATCTCTTGTGCTGCAATGGATGAGTAGCTCTTGGCGAAGACTGCGTGTTCCTCCACAGGCGGGCTAGATACACTTCTCAACTCCTGTGCATCGGCAGATTTTACACCGACGGTGATAATCTGAGGACACGGCAAATGAAACATAAACAGATATAGTATCACATATTTTGAATGTAGACGCCAGAGTGAGATTTGATAACGTAACGTCTGGTGAGATGTGATAACATAATGTCTGGCGTGTATGCTTGCAAACCATGTAGTAATTAGATCTCATTTCCACTGCGAAAGAGATTATCTGCTCTATATAGACCTTATGCTGTCAAGTTTGTTCAGGCTGTAATGGTTCCTAGGAAATATTATAGAAAAAATAAACGCCTGTGAAAAAAAAAAAAAAACTTGGCCAAAAAAAAAAAAAACGTGACTAGGGAAAATAAACGTGACCATTGCAAATTCAACGTGACAATGGGCAAAGAAAACGGAGGCAGTGAAAATAACAAGGTAGGGAAAATAAACTTGCCAAGGACAAAAACGTGGCTTTTGGGGAAAACATGGCAAGGGCAAATAAATATATCAAGAGAAATATTAATCACCTCTTTTATAAAGTTAAAAACGCCGTGATAAGATCAGGAATGAGATCATAAGAGAACAAGTCGGCACAGAACCAATTCTGGATTACATACAAAGACAGCAAGAGAAATGGTTTGCCCACTTAGAGAGAATGCCTTGTGACACCATACCATAGAAAGCATACATGGAAAGAGAAGAAGACGTAGAGCACGGGGTAGACGGCAACAAACAAGATGGAAGGGATAACATCAGAGAGAAACTCTACACCACAATGATGTGCCTATGGTCGAGGCAGCCAGAAGAGCTAGAAACAGAACCTTATATCTCCCTCGACACCCACAACGGTAAAAGAGGAAATGAAGAAGAAGAAGAAAGACGCCGTGGCGGAGTGGCTAGACGCTCGTATGCTGATCGGAAGGTCGTGGGTTCGGATCCTGAAGGAGCGGAACTTTATCAAAAATGAACTCGGCTCTCATGCCGACACAGCCTTGAATGTGTATCAGGTATAGTTGTGGTAAGTAAAAGCGGCCGGTGTGATGCTGACCACATCACCCACCCAATGCCGTTCTGACTATAAAAATATAGGTCTAGCCCTATGTGCCCAATATTCCTGAAAGTGGTGAAAAGGGTCCTTTACTTTTACACGCACGAAGTAGCGAGTTATCTAGTAAAATTTGGCATTAACTACACAATGCTAACATGTCTCACAGTGACCAAATGGTCTTGTTATCGTTTACGTTTCATAACTGGACAATGTAAGCACGATTATTTTGCTGTTGCTTTTCAGAACGCCACAAACAAACTCTGGTATTGATTGTCCGAGGCTCAGGTCATTGTAACACAAAAAAGTGTTTCAATGGAAACACGGAATGTTTTTGTCAAGTTGTTCCACCAAAAACTGAAAGTTGTTTAAATACTGTATGTGTCTGCCACACACACACACACATATCACACACACACACACATATATATATATATAACTATATATATATATATATATATAATATATATATATATATATATATATATATACAGATATATATATATACAGAGAACGGGAGAAAAATAGAGAAACAAAGAGACCGAAATGTATGGCAGCGTGAAGAATAGACGAAGAGAGAGACGGTGAGAGAGAGAGAGAGAGAGAGAGAGAGAGAGAGCATGGGTGTAAATTGGAGGAGAAAAGGAAAAAGAGAAACTGATAAGGAAAGAGAAGAAAGAGGCAAACAAATGTCTGAGATGGAAACTTCAGAGAGATATTAGGAGAAAGACAGCAGAATATTTAAAAAAACACCCACTTACACAGAGAAGAACAAGAAAGGCAGAGATAAAGCAATAAAAACAGAAAGAGACAGTGGACAAATGAGAGAGAGAGAGAGAGAGAGAGAGAGAGAGAGAGAGAGAGAGAGAGAGAGAGAGAGAGAGAGAAACACAGAGAAAGAGAGAGAGAGTGAAAGAGACGGAGAGAGATCGGAGAGAGATCGTACGTTCATCAAAACAATACGAAATAACAGAGTAAATGTATGTGTGTGCGTATGTTGTGCTGAGAGTATTTGTATATGTGTGAGTTTGTGTGTATGTTTGAGCTACGCTTATTTTGTGTGTATGCTAGTGTGCGTGCGTGTCTGTATGTGTACACGTACATGCTATAGATGATTAGTGAAGAATTCTCTAACACACACTGTACTAAATGTACACCTGTCAACAACGGTTGTTACAATAATTACCTTGACACCGCTTTCTATAAGCGTGGCTGCTTCGCGAAGAAAATCTTTCTGGTCATCTGAAGTCTTGGCGTCTGTAACAAGCAAGATGACGTTTGGAACTCCATCGCGGTCTCCACCTGCTGCTGTAAAGATCTTGGTTCGAACCTGTAGTTTATAGAAACATGTGTGTGTTACTGTGATGCAGTTGTCATTAAACGTTGAGAGGTCCTTTTATGGGGTACTTTTTTTCCAAGTCATTTAAAATGGGATAACCTCTAAAGATATATTTGTTGTAATTGTGACTTAGACATACAGAGGAACTTCAGAATTCGATAGCCTGAGAAATGCGAACATTTTGATATCCAAACTAAATTTTCAATTACAATTTGGCTCTGAATTTGAACGTGGGTTGGGGGGGGGGGGGTGGTGGGGGTGGAGTGGTGGTGGTGGGGGGGGGGGGGGGCGGGGCGGCTAACATAAAAAATGGATTTAAAAAAATTGACGCCGCATGCAGATAAATGTCAATGACACAGTTTCCTCAATAGTTTTCACTGCTGTGCATTTGTTAAGCCCATATGTTGAGAAAGACGACGTCACTCTACTCGAGACAGATTCGCGTTGCCTCCATCAGCAGATGTCAACAGGTACGGATAGTTAAAAAAAAACTCGTTCTATTCTGGTTAGGTGCATACCAAAGACGTTCAAAGTCTTCGGTGTGTATTTTGTTTCTCTAACTGACACATGGTGGCTTAATTGATTTGATTAATCGCTTTCGCTGATTCCATCTGGTATTTAACACACTGCACGTGCCTGTTATAAAGTCTACCATGATGAGTATGTGATCAGAAGAAAGAACATAAACATGAGATCAAACAGCGGTACTTCAAAAGACATCTGGCAACATTTGATATCAGGGATACTTTGCTGTATCTCGCCAGACACATTACTACAAGGTTAAATCAACATATCATAAATCACATTATTTAAATTCACTACGGAAAAACATTGTTTTGAATATAAAACACAAACAAGTTTACCTCACTTAGTGCGCTGCCACCAGATGATCTCTTTGCTCTCTCTTTAGGACTAATTTCATTTATCTTCTTGATTACGTAAGCAGAAGTTTTGAACTTGGCAAGATTAAACTGTCAGAAATAGCATAAAATCTTTAAGTGTTACTTTTCATTTTGATTTGATAAGATTTGATTCAAGAATCGACATCACGGCACTCAGGGCATTCCCATAAGCGATCCGACCATATCTTCAGTAGCCAGCAAAGAGTCCTGATACTAATGGTGCCAGTAGCATTTTGATTTTTAACGAAGCCGTATTTTATATGTAATTTGTAGGAATACATGGTATTGCCTTTCCTCTCAGCCTCGAGCATCTGCCAGAACCTCTCGTCACTCCCCCCTGTATCAATCTCACCAGACTGTGGTGATCCATCTGCTCTTCCGAACTGTCCACTCTCTACCACAAGGCACTAACCACGTCTACATTATCATGATTCAGTGATCCACCAAGTTGTGCAGAGCCAGCCAGTCTGTCCGAGTGTTCATCGGTGAAAAAATCCTGACAATACTCCTCACCCGTGTCCTCCGCAGCGAAGCATGCCACTCTGCACGAAGCATGCCTGTCTTGGTCTTCCTCAGCATGCTTTCTGAGTCCGTTACTATCACGATGTGTGTTTGTGTCATGTTTTCTAGCCAGCGGAAAGCTGTAGTGACCGCCTCCACCTCCATTCTTAAGCTGGATGTTGTGGTATTATATGTTTGGCTCTCTCCTAGACTCATTTCGATAAGCTCAGCACAAAATGCCAACACAATATTTTATTTATGTAAAGATAACACTTGTAGACATTAATTTTAGAAGCAGGTCATCAAGTACCATTCAGCTCACATTTGTATTAAGATGGGTTATACATGTATATGTTTGTTTGTTTTAGTATCCAGAAGCCATGAGTTGTTAACCCTTAGGCTCGGTATTATGGATATCGCAACCTTTCGGCCTTGATTCCATCGTAAATACCGTAAATCTAGGAGAAATGTGGCTTTTCTGTCTACCCCCGGGAGGGAATCTGGACCACAAGGAGTTCGTCTCCCGGTGACCGCGCAATCTGGTTTAGCCAACTACGCTAGAGAGCCGGACGATATGTATCTATATATATAAATATATAGCCGTTTTCCTCGTGCTGTGAAGGTCGGGGTTCATTTCACGACTGTGTCATTCGGTTCACAAGTGCAATTTTTACAGTGGTCCCTGGTGATCGTTAACAAAGCTCTAAAGCCCGTGCTTTATGCGATGTCCTCAGCATGTGGCTAATCGTTCTACGGGAAAGAGACCCAGCCATATGGTATAAAACTTTGTGAAATGAAGTCGATTATCTCGACTTCAACTTTACCTCTTAGAAGAATAGACAGTAGGTTTTCAGAACGAAGGCAGAATCAGGATATCTGAGACACACTAGACATACAAAGACGTCAGCTAGTGGACTTAGTAACGAATTGACTGCCTTTGCAACAGGTAATGGTAGGACCGAGTTTTCTCAAAGAATACGCTACGGAATATTTCTTTGTGTTCATCTTAAAAAGGCAGTTGGCCCGTTGTACTGGGGTTGAACCTAGACTGCGCTGATTTCAGCTAACATCAACGCCACTACCAACGCCACTGGACATGGAACAGAAGATCATCTGTGTCAGAACTAATAGCAATTACACTCTGAAAGAAGGTCTGGATAAACATTGTTGCAGAGGCCACACGGCATGGACTGTAAGGAGAAGGAGATAACAACACAATGTTGCTACTTACTACAACACGGGCCTTCCTGGCGAAGCTGACAAGAGCAACCCTAACGTCGCCGTTGTCAATGTTGGCCTTCTCAACCGCTGCCACTAGAAATGGCACAAAGTATTTCTTCAGCTCCCCCGGCTTGATCTTCTGAGACAAGTGGTACACTATAGCAAGATCGACCTTGTTGGAAGCTGGAATACAGACATTTTAATTTATTATTTCAGACAGGCGATGCAGTCAACCTTGTTGGAAGCTGGAATACAGACATTGTATTATTTCAGACAGGTGATAAAGTCAACCTTGTTGGAAGCTAGAATACAGACATTGTATTATTTCAGACAGGCGATAAAGTCAACCTTGTTGGAAGCTGGAATACAGACATTGTATTATTTCAGACAGGTGATAAAGTCAACTTTGTTGGAAGCTAGAATACAGACATTGTATTATTTCAGACAGGTGATAAAGTCAACCTTGTTGGAAGCTGGAATACAAACATTGTATTATTTCAGACAGGTGATAAAGTCAACCTTGTTGGAAGCTGGAATACAGACATTTTGATTTATTATTTCAGACAGGCGATGGAGTCAACCTTGTTGCAAGATGGAATACAAACATTGCATTATCTCAGACAGGTGATAAAGTCAACCTTGTTGGAAGCTGGAATACAGACATTTTAATTTATTATTTCAGACAGGCGAATGAGAGTCCACCTTTTTGACATCATGGAATACAGAATTGTATTATTTCCAACGAACAGGTGATAAAGTCAACCTTGTTGGAAGCTGTAATACAAACATTTTAATTTATTATTTCAGACAGGTGATAAAGTCAACCTTGTTGGAAGCTGGAATACAGACATTGTATTATTTCAGACAGGCGATGCAGTCAACCTTGTTGGAAGCTGGAATACAGACATTGTATTATTTCAGACAGGGCCTTAAAGTCGAACCTTGTTGGAAGCCCTTAATACAAACTGTTTTTAATTTATTATTTCAGACAGGTGAAAAGTCACCAAAGTTGGAAGCTGGAGCTTACAAACTTGATTTTTAATTTATTATTTCAGACAGGTGATAAAGTCAACCATGTTGGAAGCTGGAATACAGACATTTTAATTTATTATTTCAGACAGGTGATAAAGTCAACCTTGTTGGAAGCTGGAATACAGACATTGTATTATTTCAGACAGGTGATAAAGTCAACCTTGTTGGAAGCTGGAATACAGACATTTGAATTTAATAATTCAGCCATGCGATAAAGTCAACCTTGTTGGAAGCTGGAATATGGAAATTAAGACAGGAGATTCACGTCAACCTTATTGGTAGATAGAATAAGTAAAGTAAAGTAAAGATCCCTTTACACGCCCCTAGGCGCATCGGGCATATGGGAAGAGCACCCGTATTTTTACAGACCAATCGGCACTCGGCGGGTAATGTGGTCAGCATTACACCGGCCGTCTTTACTTTCCCAGGACAGCCGACCTGGTACCCATCTGAGGCTGGGACAACCTGCGACGTCCAACACCACGATAAAAATCCATGCAGCCCGCAATGGGTTTCGATCACGGTATGTTGGATTACGAGTCAGACTCGCAATGCCTTAGCCATGGACGCTAAGATAGAATTAAGACATTTAAATTAATTACCTGAGAAAGATTATACACTAAAGCCAAGTCAGTCTGGTTGGGGGTGAAGTATAGAACCTTTGAGGTGATTTTCTGAGTAATGCTTTACAAGTAACTTTTAATGAAACATGCACTAAAGACAACGATCAAGTGTGTGCAAAAAACAACCACCTAAAACTGAACACCCCCCCCCCCCCCCCACCCACCCCAACAACTCCGCTTTTCTCACTTTACATCAGCATGTGACCCTATAACTAAATATAGATAAAAGCGAAAACTAAAGTAAATTCAGCATCTAATTTCAAATCGTGGCAACATTTTCATTGACGAAGACATACTTAGAAAAGAGATAGAAACAGTTTAAAAAAAAAACAATAAAATAATCAATTAATTGATTAATCAACAATGACTTATCTGATGAAGGAAGCCGCTACAAGAACCGAAAGTTCAGGGTTCCAAACTACATGGACGTGGATTATTTTTGTTTTCAACATTAACTGTGGCTTCTAGTCGACAGCCTAAAATAGGTACCAGTAAAGCTTGTGGAAAGTAGAGAGAGAAAGAGAGAGAGAGAGACAGACAGACAGACAGAGAGAGACAGACAGACAGACAGACAGACAGAGAGAGACAGACAGACAGAGAGAGAGACAGACAGACAGAGAGAGAGAGACAGACAGACAGGAGAGAGAGAGAGAGAGAGATGAGAGACGATGAAGGGAGAGATCCCAGAGAGAGAGACAGAGAGAGAGAGAAGAGAGAGATGTTGAATATTGTGGACAAGACAAGCTTTAGAGTACCAACTGGCCAGTGAAAGTGTTGGCCCAGCACTATACTCTCGGGGCAAGGAGGACGTGACGAGGGTACAATACTCCAATTTACTTTTTGTGCTAAAGAGTTAACTCATGTATATGGACACACACACAAAAAACATGACCGAAAAACCACAACGTGGATATGATATTTTAAAACTGTTCTTTATTAATATCTTATCCCAGATAACGTCACAGGACAGTCCAAAAATTTAGAGGTTGGTAAGACTGGATTTCCCGGCTTTCTGATGCTTTCTTTTAACGACATCAAAACAACTAGAACTGGCTCTAACCCCAACCCACCTACGTCCCACGAGAAAGTGCAGCCTAGGTTCCACAACTGCATTCAGCTTAGGTCCCACGAATGTATGCAGCCTATCTACAACCCCCTGAATTATTAGACTGTCCAGTGACCTGTGTGTTTCCCTTACGTGGGGTAGGATATTAATAAAGCACCTTTAAAACTATACATGATCGACAACAAAAAAGAAATACGATAACAAGATTCTAAAATTAAATCATAGGAAAAGACATTTGCCAGATTTTGTAAAAAACCAAAGTGATGACTCGTTGTTGGTTTAAAACAACATTTTTAACTCCTAATATGATGTTCAATAAACATAATCCATATACTAAACATTCAACACTCATCTGTGGTCTCAATGTGGGACGTAATTTTTCGTTATTTTAAAGCCCCACCCTGGTTGTAGTCGGGAGCACTAATATAACCTTACGGTTGAACTGGGTTTCTGGGATTTCCCCCGTGGTGTTCCTCATCCGCATGGTGGCACTTTGTGTCACCAGGTGTTTATCGCTCGGTGTGATGTCCTGTTGGGGTTGAACGCAGTCAGTCAGTCAGTCAGTCAGTCACTAAACATTCTCCATCGGAACAAAATTTAGGTGGGAAAAAAGGGAACCTATTCGCTGAACGGGGTTTCTTGGACTTGCTCCCGTGGGATTCTCATCCGATTGGTGGTACCGTGTGTCACATGGTGTTCTCGTTCATCGTGCGGCCCTGATGGTCTTGAGCATGAGTCATTCAATCAGAAAACACCCCTAGTTTTTGGCATTGTAGGACATGCTTGTTGGGGAGAGAAGTGAATTCTTCACCCTTCCACGCCCGAACCCCAAAATATGGATAACTGTTATGTTCTTTTAAAGATAGAGATCCCCATACAATCATGTTATATGCTGTTTCTCCCGTTGTGATTCAGACAAACCCATTGCCAACAGACCGTGGGAAAGTAGATGCCGCATGCTGTATGTTTTGTAGACTGATAAAAAAAAATTACCTTTGTGTAAAAATAAAAAAAAAATGGGGGGGGGGGGAGTGGGGGTGTTAACATCACGAAATGCCTTACTGCCAAGAACACATCAATGGGAATGGAACGTTTTTAATTAATTCAGCATAATTAAGAATGAAAGTTTACAGATTGGGAGAATTTGTAGAGTGAAAACATCACAGATAAGGAGAACGTCTGAGCCCGCACGAATGGAAGCATTTTATATACCTGAGAAAGGGTTAGCAAAACCCTCCCCCACTCCCCCCCCCCCACCCCCCCCCCCAAAAAAAAAACTGCTTGGTATTTAACTAATAAAACAAGGAATAGACATAAGTACACACAGCAGCTGTAGCGTGTAGAATTTGATACATGAGAAAATGTATCTATTCACTGAGAGTTTCTCCCCTTTAAATCCCGGTCTAGGCTGGCATTTTAAAATGTACCCGTGCACGCAAGCTGGCCGAGCCTAACATGGGTACCAGGAAATGGCCCAGGAAGTAAAGGCAGGCGATGAGATATCACCAGCATTGTTCATCGGGTCTGGAGTCCCCTTCTAATCGGTTAATCGTGTGTTTGAATCCCCGTGGAAGTGCCATTTCAAACCGAAGCCTGCATTTGTGCCTGTCTTGTCTGTTCCTGCATCAAGCTTTATAGTCATTCGTTGTCTTGTCTTGTCTTGTCCACAATTGCCTCACAGCGTAGTGGGGAGTCGCAGTTTTCTATCCTGGGCCAGGTGTGTTGCACGTGTTGTTGTTAGTCCGTGTTGCCTCAGGATCTCTGATATATTGTCTATCCATCGTACTCTCGGTCTGCCTCTTGCTCTAGGGCAGTAGTGCTGTTCGTTGTATGCTCGTAGAGGCAGTTGGTCGGTTTGCATTCGCATCAAGTGGCCAAACCACTCTATTTGTTGCTTCTTTATGTATTGCAGGCATGGTGTGGTTCCTACAATTGCTCTAATGTTCTCGTTTCGAACTCTGTCTCTCCTTGTGACTTTGGCAGCCTTACGTAAGCATCTCATTTCGCACGTCGTGATCTTTTTCTCCTGTGCTCTTGTTAGGGACCAGGTTTGGCATTGGTAGCAGAGGGTTGGTATAAACATGCAATTTATCAGTTGTCGTTTTAGTGCCATAGTGATGCTTGGGTGTTTTAGCAGTGGGGAGAGTTGGTAAGTTACTGCGTTCGCCTTTTGACAAATTTACTTCTGGATATTAACACCCCTTCCCCACCCACTTCTTTTGCAGTAACTCTTACATTGAATTTTTTTTTTGTGTTTACTAAATTCACCCCATGCAAAGAAAATCCTAGAGTTTCCGAAACTGTCCAGTTTTCTAGTGGTGTAGTGGGTTGGGATTAAGGTTAGGATCTTTATCAAGCCCCGACCGCCTTAAAGACACAGACTAACCTTACTTCTAACCCTAGCCTTAACCTAACCCTAACCAGTAACCCCAACCTTAAACACCCCTAGAA